TATGATTTCAAGATGGCGGTGACCAATCATATACCCTTGTGACATCACAATTGCATCATGAGCAAGTGTTCATCCCTGTATTACTGTCTTTGTATGCCCTTGAAGAGTTTTTCTTTGAGAATTGCATTGCATATTATTTTGTCAAATACTTGTCTTATCAATATCAAGCATCGATATTCAAACTACTTTTTCTTATCCTTTTCCTGGCTTGTGCTTTAGCTGTAATTTATTGGTTCAAAGATTCAACTGTTATCTTGACCTCTAGAATTTTAATAAGCTACCTTTGGTTGTTTAGGTATATTTTTCTATGCTTATGCTCAAATTTATGTGTCAATGGACATCTTCATTTTCCGTTGAGTCATTGTCCCTTGTTAGATAAATGAAGTCATGTTTAAGAATTATAAGGGTGTGTTTACATGGAAAGCATCAATTTTGAGGGGAGTTCAATTTCATTGCTTGCATCCCTTCTAGGGTAGTTGGATCACTTATATGTGCTTACTTGTTGCTTTACTTTGCTTGGACATGCTTATATGATATATTGCTAATTCCTTATCCACTATACTTTTGTGGTTCTTGCATTGTGATTTGCTGCAAATTGGAAAATTTCTTGTGATATTTTACCTTGCCTTTGTCTTACCATGACAAAATGGGCGAGAAAATTTTCAATTGTGTTATTACCTTATTACCTTGCAAGCTGGTCACCTATGATAAATTTCACTGGTTCTTGTTAAGATTTGTTGTTTTGCAGGATTCATTTCTTGAGTATGGGTAAGTGAAATTAGCTTTATGCCAAAGGGGAGATTGTGAAGTCTAGACTTTTAGGTTTGGCTTTCCTTGTCAACATTGTAATTGTACCATATGCTCAATCTAGCTTTAGGCTTTTTTCTGTTTATAGGCTATGTCTACCGGGAAAAAATGTTCAAGGACTTCAAAAGGTTTGTTCATACATGTGCATTTCGCATCTTCATTCTAACTAGCTTAGTTGTCTAGTCAAGCTTGCGCGCAAATTTTCAGCAAGTTAGGCACACAAATTAAGACCTGCCCACATGGGTTGATTGACAACTTTTTGCTGGTTACCAGTTTTTAGCCGTGGATATGCCCAAATTGCTTTATGGTGTGACATGTGTTCCTCATCCTTGCTAACTAAAATGAAACATCCTTTTTGCATACATCTTTGGCTACGTTTTCACTTCTTTTTTGGGGGTTTTTAGATTATATCGTTAGAGAGACAGAGCATTTATGCTTCCACTTTCTTCCTTCTTCTCATCTATGAACCCTAATTGCAAAACTTTTTTTCATGCATTAAACACCCAATCATTTAAGAATAGGGTTGCAATGTTTTTGTGGTCAAGTGTTCCTTGTTTCAAATTTTTAAAAATGACCCATTTTAGGATTCTTGTCTGGTTCTTCCTTCAACAATTTGACTGAAGAAATTGACTAGACATTTGAATCCAGATTTGCATATCATTGACATATCATCATATGCATAGTTCGTGTATGGGTCTCGGTGCCACAATGTGAAGAGTTCAGGAGGAGCTACCATCTTGTGAAGACTAGAGACAATACATTTTCGGTGCCACAAGGTGAAGAGTTAAGGAGGATCTGCCACTTCATGAAGACCAAAGGAATCCATCTTATGTGAGGTAAGGTTGCACAAAGGTAAAGCTGCTCCGTAGACTAGGTCTAGGAATTGAGCTTTGCGTGGTACTTTGTAAGAACCTTGATTATACTAGTGGATTGGACTCAGTGGAGAGTCCCTGGTTTTTTTACCCAGAGGTGGGTTTTTCCAGCCAAAAACATCTTGTATTCAAAGTTATTTATATTGTGTCATATATCTTACATACATATACATGCTGCATGTATAACTTGAATATTTAATTAGTATGTGCTCACAATCATGCTCACTTGATACATTAATAACTTGGAACAAACTGAGGCCTTGCAAACTAGGATAGCTTTTGGTATTTGAAATTGGTTATTGAATCTTTGATTTATCAACTAACCAATCTATCTTAATTGACTAGCGGGCTTGACTAGTCAGTCCAGTGGATTATAATTTTTATATACATGATATTCTGCCTGGTACCAATTTCATATGGTTCATAACATAATTTTAATTTAGAACGTAGCAGATGTATGGTACATAATGTTTTTATTATTGGTACTTACCAAACTAATGAAACATTATACAATGTGAGTTAAACATATCTTATTTGGTAGATCTTTTAGAATTATGTTAATGTAGAAGGTATAAATCATTTGGTGCATAATGTGCACATCACTCCAAGTAAAAACATGTTGAACTTTCGACAACAGTTGGATACTGGATGAGCTTACATAATGAAAGAAAAAATATTATATTGTTTGTGCAAATTCACCTCCAGATCATTTTCTTGGTCACTAGAGTATTAGTCAAATCAATTGGCACCTATGCATTGTTTGGAATGATTAATGAAATATCAGACTATTGTTGCTTGTCACAAAAAACAAAAAAACAAAAAAACCCTAAATCCAAAGCTAAAGTGGATGTATGCCAAAGTTCACAACATACCCAAAGTGAAACCTATTCTTCTATATCGAAACCTACCGAAGAAAATATATAAAAACATAATGATTTATTACCAAAAACAAATATATGATTAAAATATAGTTCAAATATCTCACCATAGTCAGCATATTAATCCAACTCTAGCAAATTCTTTTACAAAAAAATGATAGAGACATGACTGATTAATCAAAATGGTGCTGATCAAGTCTTCATAAGCCTTGCACACCTAAGCAAAAGGCAGGCATCATGCATTTCATCAAACATGTGTCGGGCAACGTTCAAAACTTCAAGAAGTCGGCACAACTCCTTAAGTGTAGATCCACCAATGTTATAACTTATTAACAACAAATAAACTATTAGCGTTTACATTATTAGTACAAACCTGAAGCTAAAAAACCACACAACTTACCAGCAAAAAGCAAAAGGTTGAAGCAATAGAGAATTTGGATAAAGCCTACATAATGTACTAGCCTCTAGCCGCCAGAAATAAAGAGTAAAGTAGCAGAATAATATACGTTTAATTATCTCACACAATAACAAGATAACATTGTGAAAACAAATGGGAGATCACAAAACTCAAACGTGGAAGAAGAAATCCAGAAACACTACTAACAAACCAGAAACTATTTCCTAAAAAAATGTCACTTAAAAAGTAATATCTAGGACATATTCAAAATTCAGTAATTAGATCCTTCCTATAGACCCAAGCACCAACTTACCCTACCCCTCCCCATCACCATGGTCATGACAATTTTTAACAAAAATTTCTAATGCGTTTCTAATAAAATCAATTTTAGCAAAAGCGTTAAAATAATGTGATTTTTAGAGAAGCAGTTTAAAAGAGCTCTAAGCCTAATTGCATTGTAAAAGCATTTAAAACATGTTTATTAAAACTGCAACAGTATATTAGATACGTTGAAAAGGCGATAAAAGTAAAAACACGAAAAGGCAAAAACTAAAGTGGTTGAAACCTGCACAAACAACTAAATCTCCACATCTCTAAAATCTAACATAATCTTTACTCTAACACAACTAATACTCTAACTTAATCCACAAGCCTAAATTATGACTATCGCCAGTACTCAAAGCTCGACCTCATAGTTTCATGAGACGTGATTAGTAAACAAAAGCGGCAAAAAAACTTTAAAATGTTGTGAAATTGAGGATATATGTGCAATGGAATATAAAGTAAATAAGACACAATATTATGAGGTTCGGTAAGTGTCCCTACGTCCTTAGGGCAGCAATAGTATTTTCCTTCATTATTTGAAATAATAGGAATACAACGATATCTCTCATTATTTTTCTTTCTTCTCTCTAGCCTTATAGCTACTGATATATTTCTCTTCTACGTCCTCTACTGTGGATGCAAATTTCTGTCATCTCTAGCCTGACGAAAATACACCTACAAAACAATCAACACCTTTGATCATAAACCTAAGCCTCACGCACCCGCGAGGTAAGGGGGTTAGGCCAATGGATCTTTAATGCCTAAGTTAGTTTCTCTGAAAAAGAGTAAGTGTTTAGAGCTTTTTAGGGTTGCAAAAGCTTACCGAAATTTGGTAGAATTGGGGATATATAGGGGAAAGGGCTGGCCATGGTACTTGGGTTTTACCCTACACATGACGCCATCATATTGGCCAAGGTTTATGGAGAAATATTCTCAAGATATTAAATAGGATATAATATCTAGAGATAATGGAGTAAATATCCCTAATTGATTTAAATAGGAATTACTTACTTGAATGAAGTCAATCTTCAGTTGAGAATGTATTAAAGATAGGATTTGGGTAATTAATATCTATCTTTAATGCTTTGACTTTTCCTTAGCAAGGGCAGGTGAGTTGTGAGTAGCCGTATTCAGCTGCATGGACATTCAGAGGTGTCAGATCCGCGTGGGAGTATCTGAGGAGTCTGCCCATTTAATGAGGACAATCTTGTCTTTCTTGAGCAAAAATTCACGTGTCGCCTCTAGAATTTTTTAAATTATTTTAGGCTCCACATCTACTGCTTCTTCTCCTCTTGGTTGTATAGGCAGATAACCAACCATTTTTTCTTCATTCCACCTCATATTTCCACTAGTCAATAATATTAAATATAAAAATTAGGTGATGTACCTACCATCCACGAATAAAACAATTTAATTTCAATAATATTAAATATAAAAGTTGATTTTCAAGTGAGTATTGCTGTTATATAAGGCATTCACATTGCTTTTACAACAAATGTAAAATTTAATTTCAATGATTGGCTCTAAATCATGAAAAATAAATAAATAAATAAAAATTAAAACCACATGTCTACTTTCATTAATCGGTAGTGGAAGAATTTAATTTGAAGTGAAAATTGAAGGGTCGCCACCACAAGATTCATTTTCCATAAATAGTAATGAAATTAAAGAAAAAGAAAACACAAAAACCAAGCTGTCATACACATCAACGTAACGTGTACAGAGTACCACCTGCCCACTACCTATATACAATGACTCGATTTTCTCCTCCCTCCCTCCCTCACCCCCTTTGTCTTTTGCCTGTCTCCGAGGAAACCAGAAAAACAATGGCTTTCTGCAGGAGGAAGGACGGATGAGTATATGAGAAGAAGTGGGCATACAGTATGCGAACGCTTTGTGATGTGTGCGAGAGCGCCGCTGCCATCCTTTTCTGTGCCGCCGACGAGGCCGCCCTTTGCCGTTCCTGTGACGAGAAGGTTCTTCATTTCTTCTTTCCCTTTGCTTTTGTTTATGCAAACATTGACTTTTAGTTATATGATCCTTCCAATGATTTTAGCACTAACATTTGCAAGTTTTTGGGAAATTGAATTTTGTGGGTCTGCTTTCTGATTGTTAATCTTGATTTTGATTATTGCAAGCTAAGTCACAGGTGGTTGTTTTTTTTAGTACAAACAATACTCTACATTAAGGAGGGGGGAGGTTTATCCCGGGACGTAGTGGGGTGAAGAGGAAGGCCTAACCACTAGGGCAATCCACCACTTTTGCTATATTGGTGCCGGACAAATCATAAGAATGATTGCTTACTGCTTGAACTTGTCTGACGAGTATACGAGGTTTTGTATCAAACTATGAGTACCCAGATGATGTGGAAGTCATACTATACAATTTGGAATTGTGAAAGTGAGATTGGTAAATTTAATCAACAGTTCACATTAGTGATGAATTTTGAGATGTTTGGTTAGAGAAGTGATTGGCGATGGGTTGCTATCTGAATGTAGCGTGGTTCGAAAATCATGTGTAACACAAGTCTGACGTTTGCTTCTTAATTTTGAAGTCTTTCTGCTATTTATGTGTATGGAAATCATGACTACCGAAGATGTTTGAATTCTTAGTCTTTTTTTTGCTTTGCATAGCTCTCCTGTCAAATTGTAGTAGAAGCATGATTTTGTTCTTCTGTGTTGGAATTGCAGGTCCATCTGTGTAATAAACTTGCCAATAGACATGTACGTGTTGGGCTAGCCACACCCAGTGATGTTCCTTGTTGTGATATTTGCGAAAATGCACCTGGTATGCTAGACTTCAATGCTTTAAACTTTTAGTTTTTGTGAGCTATGTTAAACTTAAGTAGAAGAATTTTCAAGACTTATTTTCCCTTGGAAAACATACATGTAGCGTTCTTTTACTGTGAGGTAGATGGTAGTTCTCTTTGCCTGCAGTGCGATATGATTGTACATGTCGGTGGGAAAAGAACCCATGGGAGGTATCTCCTCTTCAGGCAGAGAGTTGAGGTTCGTGTCTTTCTACTGGAAGTTCGGGTTAAGGTTATATATATAGGCCTCCAGGGATTAATTTCTTTTCTCTCTTGGGGCGTTTCTCCATAGTTTCCAGGGAATAAGCTTGGCCGAGGACTTCAACCACTTGACCAAAAGAAGGTACGAAGGGACGAAAATCAGCTGCCCGATGTAAAACCAATAGAGGGTGAACATAATCACAATATCTCTCCAATTGCAGTCCTAGACAACAATATTGACGGTGACTACAAGATAGACAATACATTGATTGATCTTAATACCAGGCCCCAAAGAATACGCGGGCAAGCTTCAAATAACCAGGTAAATATATATTTCCCCATGTTGATTTTACTATCCGGTTGGGTTCTTTAATAAGGCATTCTTGTCTTCTTATTAACAAGGCATTCTTTGTCTTCTAAATATGCAGTTTGAATGTTGTGAACTCTAGTTCTGTTCCTTTAATTATTTGCAATTATAAGCATTTTGACTAATCAAAACAACATTTATCTTGCCTTCATATTTAGGAACAGGGTGTGGGTGTTCATAATGGCGTGAATGACGAATCTGTAAGTGTCGTTCCAGTTTGATCCTTCAAAAAATAGCCTGAAAAGGGAGAAAGGTACAATTTGCGTATCATATTATCCTCATCCATTTGTTTTACGTTTTCAAGATCTTCTTGTATGAAGTTAAATTGCTGCTTATAGCTCAGGAAAATTCTCTAGCATTGATTTTGATGTGTTTAAATTCAGAAATGAAAAGGATTATTCAAATCAATGGTTTGCAAGCACGTGCTTATGTAAAATACATGGGTATTTGCATCGGATTTTTGCTTTCAGAATGCTAGAAAATGAGTGAAACTTTTCTCATATTGGGTCACTAACAAGGAGGGATATTTGGATACCAGTCCCAAAGAACGTATTTGGTTTTGAGCAACTTTAATTGCTAGCAGAAAATGATACAATTAAGGCTTGCAAAGCCACAATTTCTTCTTGGTAATGTATTTTTTTCCCCAAGAACTTGGATGATAAGTTTGAACTGAGAGATGGTTGACATTATAAGGAAATTGCACCTGTTGTGCATTTGTGGGAAGGGCAGGGTTCCATTTAGTCAAATGACATAAAAAAAGTTACAAACTTTATATAGTTTTCAAAGCAAGGTCACATAAGTTTGTGTATTATTTGAGTGGTGAGCCTTAACCCGTGTGCAGCTGTATACTTCACCGGGAAGATTCACATGACAAGATATGAATTATGCTATTCATGATGACGTAACATATACATAGATCATCCGTTTGCTGTAAAAAAGTCAACTTAATAAGGGAACCCAAGGAGAAAGAAGAAAAATAAAATAAATTAGAGGGGAAAAGACTTTATATATATCTGACTGCTAGTAGTCTGGTGTGATATAGGAGAAATTTTCTGTAACACATAGGCTCTATGACTGAATCATATGTCTCTATCTCATCGAATTACCCTTTATGCGTGGATTTCTTTTCTTCATTTCAACTGTGATGTGAGACTCATGGCCTATCTTTGAACCAAAACTGAATATGAGCGGTCATCTTCTCCCTCCACTTTGCATTTTAGCCTTACTATCTTTAAAGGTTTTCTAGAAATAAAGAGGTGGAGATTGTATTGGCTTCCCATTATACTGTGTACTCAATCGGTGAAAAGAAAGTTGGGAGAAAGTTAATAACTCTGTTTATAAAATAACACATATATGCTGATATTTTTCGGTTCTTGTTTTGAAATGGGTCGAGTGTAGGCATAAACAACTTGTTTAAGACCCCCAACTATTTGTATTTCTGTTTTCTGTCTGATCATGTTTTTGATCTAATGAGATTATCTTTGTTCTTTGTCATCGTTGTCCAATAAATTTACAAACCCTTCTCTTCCTCTACATTGTGGCTGCAGATGTTCTAGACAAACTACCGTTGCAGAATCTTGGTTGACGACTTATGCACTTGTATTCTTATTTGTACCTTTCTTCCGCTTTCTTTGGATCAGCATCAGTCTGTCACGTTCCTCGTGCAAAGTAGATTAGATGAAACTCTTTAACTGTGTATTATCACAAGCAATGTGTTTAGCTAGAAAGAGAGAAAAGTGAGAGTCATTTGTACAGTTTGTTCAAAGTTAAGTTATCGAAATACAATGCCGCTGTCGACATTCGTCTTACTTGCACTTCGATGACATTTTTATCAAATCTTAGAAAGGAAATGTGAACTGGTTTCAATTGAATTTTAATGCTTCCCCAAAAACTCATGTGATTTGGCTTTTAAATGAAAACTTAATCAGGATTACTTATGTAGTTTATGTGTATGCACAAAGGCGATCCAAGGAGGGAGAAAACTTTTCCTGTACCCGTTGCATGAAATGGGAGTCTAATGTTCTCTACATCATGTGCTACTCATATAACCATGAATGTGGAACACCCGTTTCGTACAACATTTTCAAGAAACAGTAGTTGAAGACATCCCTGAGAAACACTTGGTGGGGATGTATTAATGTAGTCTACTGATTCGAGCTCGGTCATCTTGATAGATTTTGATGTAGTCTAATGATTCGAACCATGTTATCAGATTGCGAGAAATCACTGAAACATTTCCAAGTTTTTTCCAGACAAATAGCTATATGCTTCGAAGGATCAAGCTGACGGATTTCCGAAAAAATTATGCCTGAAAGTAGCAAAATTTTTGGGGTTTAGGTTAACTTATGAACCGAAGATGCAAACTTCAAGCATGAAAATATCTGATTGAATAAATACCGGCTAACTAACTCATCATCAAGAAGCTTATTAAGTTGCTAAAAAGTACATAAAATGTTCATCAACAAAAATAGTCTTTCATGGTTATAAAGCATTACACACATAAGAGATCCATGTCTCCTTCCTCCATTAACATCAACAACATCACCATCTGCTATTTGTTCTTCATCATCTACAGCGACGGTTCAAATTACTTAGTACACATAGCCCTTGACGAACAATTCCTTCTTTGCCTCCTCGGACTCTCCTTCTCCGGTGTACTTGCCAAGCTGTGCAAGTGAGTTGGCCTTGGCACGGATGAGCAAAGCATCCTGAGCTGCCTTCACGTTCTCGGGTCTGCCTCCCCATATCTTCAAACAGGTGTTTTGGAGAGCTCTGGCGTAGGAGAACGACACGTGCCATGGGTTTGGCGATTGGTTCATCGCGTTCAAGTTCAGGGTTGCCTCGACCTCAGATTGTCCACCAGATAAAAACTGCGCAACAGACACAATTTCATCATCAGTACATGATATATTCTCACCACCAAAATAAAAAAATAAAAAACCAATTATTATCAAGCTTTTCGAACACTTGCCATGATCCCGGGGACAGCTGGGGGGATTCTCCTGTGGAGGAGCTTGAGGGTGTAGTCCGCAACCTGTTGAGGGGTGGCTCTTTCCTTGGCCTCTGCACCAGGAGTAACCATACTTGGCTTGAGGAGGATACCCTCGAACAAGACATTGTTCTCTGCTAGGTAGAAGAAAACCTCGGCCCACACCTTCAAGGCGACTTCGAAAGTCCTTTCAATGGTGTGTTCACCGTCAAGCAAGATCTCTGGCTCAACAATTGGGACCAAACCACTGTCCTAAAGAATCAAGAAGCAAGCACTTTCTCAATCAAAAAACACATCCTAACTAGACACAAAACAAACCCCTGCGGTCTAAGTAGCAACTTAATAGCAATTAGTCAATCAAATATGAAATCAACTTGCATAGCATATCAGTTCTCTTACTTGTGCAATGGAAGCGTAGCGAGCGAGACCCCATGCTGCTTCCTTTACTGCAAGAGCTGATGGGCCATTGGGGATGCTCACAACGGTACGCCTAGTTCATCAAGTTGGTAATTACGTTACATTTTACTGTCATCAATCTAGCTTATGGAGCTAGAATTAGTTGCCAAAATAACATGGGGAATTCAGATTTGATCCGTACCATTTGGCGAAACGAGCTCCCTGCTGGTAGTAGGCAGCTGTGCGAGAGGCAAGACCATCAAGACCTTGGCACCAGGACTCATCGTTGGAACCAGTTAGGGGCACCAAACCCTGTTTTTGTCATAATCAGAACATGCAGCTACCATAATTTTATGTACTAATACTATGCTTACAGAAGAGTATGCTTGCAGCTTGCTTTGGTATGTAAATTTTTGCATTTCAGTCAGCTGACCTTGTCAACTTTAATCCCGGGGACGATGCCTTGCTCAATGAGCACATCAACGATCTTCTTTCCATCAACAGTGGATTGGTAGAGAGTCTCCTCAAAGAGAATGGCACCTGAAACGTACTGGCCAAGGCCAGGGGGGCTCACAAGGAGGGTACGGTAGGCTTGGCGGTTGGCCTCAGTGTTCTCTAGCCCGATTGAGGCAAGACGCTTGCCACAGGTTGCATTGGACTCATCCATGGCCAAGATTCCACGGCCTGGGGATGCAACAGTTTTCTGTACCGACAACCAAACCCACACCTCATCAAATTCAAACCTCAACAGGCAAGGGTGCAAGTTAAAGATGAACTTCTATAACTAAACAGTTTAGGATGTTATGTTATCAGACTATCAACTTGTTCCACATGTTCAAACAAGAATCAACCTTATCAGTAGTTCAGATTAATGGTCCATAGTAAGAAACATGTTCAATTACTATAACAAGATAGCAATTCAAGTAACATTTTCAGAGTTTCTCGCGTAAAAAAATATACTTCGAGAGCGTATATTTTCGAGAGAGCATAAGTAAATAGTTCAAGTCATATATGGTAACTCAAACGTTGTAAAACTTACAGCAGTCTTAACAAGCTCATCAGCATAGGAACCGGCACGAATGGTTAGACCGGTTGGGGCAGTGGGTAGGCATCTGACACCCGAGGACACGGAAGGCTGGCGGAGGGTCTGGCCCTTCACCCACTCAGACTTGTCGAAAACCGGAGAAGACTTGAGGAAAGATGCAGAAGCCATCGTTAGCTGTAAAGAGTAGCCTTCTTGTGAGAGAGAACAAGTGTAAAATAATCTTATCTCCTCCGGTAAAGCTCTCTTGCCCTTTGCCACACATGCACTCGCTCTCTATATTTATAACTGTCTTGTGTACAACAAAGATGTCTAATTTGAGGCTGGTGTGCTCCGGCCAATCCCGCCGCACCATGTGGATGATAACCTGCTGACTTGGCTGGCTGCGTACGTGGTTCAGGCATGGGGGTTTTTTCTCATCTTGGAAGAAAAAGACAAATGCATGACGCTCACAACGTGAAACGTCCAAAACAGACTTGTGTCAAGATATTCCTCTCCAAATGGGGAAGTAAATATGAGGTTGTTATGATCTCTCTTGCTTTGTTTCCCCCTTTCTTACTGACTAACGGCTATGGTTCAACGTTAAGGTTCGACGAGACAGAAAACCACGTGGACGGTACATAGCATCACAGGTCAGCTTCTACGACCGTGCTGGTGATTTTCCACGCCACGTAAACCACGGCGATAGGTTGGTTCAATCTAATGGCTCTCACTAAGTAGCAGATTCATGGTTGAATACAATGCTCTTGCCTCCGCAAAACCTTTCGGTACGATGTTGAACATAACATAAGAAGAATTCAACAAATAAATGAGTCATGCGAAATTGTGAAACAACAGGAAGTCGATTATTAACACCGCAACAAATAAAGAAATTAAAGCAGAATTCTATTATTCTAATATATAAGATGTTTAACTAGAGTTGAGATCCAAAGATAGATCTGCAATCCCAGAAACTAGATCATCAACCGAATCTACTTTCATACTTTTCCATACATCAGAATCATCAAAAGTTGATGGGACCGGTTGAGGCAAACTTTCTTCGAGGGCCTTGTTCAACTGCTTTACCAGGTCGTCTTCCTCCACAGGAAGATCCAAATCCCAAACCCTGAAAATATCCTTAGTTGAAGGCTCCATCTCAGATAATGAAGAGCTGATATCGGCTCCTAACTCGAGGTTTTCCGTCATTCTCGGGTCATCTTTGTATCCTGGCAAAAATGGATTTCCCGTAAAAGTTGATGACTGCAAATTATTCAAATCCTCATCGGTTGGCATGTCATCATCATCATCATCATTATCATCATCATCTTCATCACTTCTTTCTGCTTCTTCACCAATACTTAGAACAGCATTTCGGATTCTTCTTCGGAGTTGTTTTGTTTCTGCCCGCTCACGAGATGCAAGTATCACAGTGTCAGCTCCCCCGGTTAAACCATTAGTTACAAGTGAAGAAGAGCTGAGTGATTCAGGCGGCTGAGAACCAAGGATTTCTTGTAAGGCACCTTTCAGAGAGTCCCAGTTGTCATCAAAAACATCAAATTCGTTAATCAGGAACGAATCAACCCAAGCATTATCCTCTGGAGAAAGTACCTCACCTTTTTTAATAGACTCTAGGGAATCCATGATAAGAGACTGAATAGTGCCTTCCATCACTTCATCTCCAACATCCATGGCTACAAATTTAAGGGAAACAGTAAGTAGAAGCAAGTACAAGCCATGCTTTTTGCAAATACAAAACAATTTATGCTGACATGTGACTGTGATTAAATTCTGTCAGTATACACGTTCAGTTAAATGTTCAAATACAAATTTCGTGTTCGTTTTCCATTCTGACATGAAAACTTAGAGCCAAATAAAAATCCCAAAAAAAAAATGTAAACGCTTCTTGCACAAAAAGTTGAATGACCAAAACAAAAAAACAAAAAAAAAACCTAGCTTCCAATCATTTCAGAGGAAGTCAGTTGGTTAGACATCATTGGAGACAGCCTTTTCAAAACATACCCATCAAACCTAACATGGCTTCATTCATGATATTCACATATTCATGTAATACCAAAAGAAAATACAAGCAATATAACAGACATGGAAGTTCATACTAATACAGGAAACAGATTATGGAAACAACTAATTAACAACAAATACAATAGAATGGTAGCGAACTCGGGTTCTTTAACCACATCAGTGACTTCGTCTGTTCTGTTTCTATTATCTGAATCCATTTTTGTTGTTGTAATGATGCAACATAACAAGCCAAACAGGGAGAGGAAAGGAGTTTCAAACATTAGAAGCTAATTTCCTGAGACTTCAACTTGGAGTAAACATTTTCCAACTAATCATTTACCATGTATAGCAATAGTGTCTAACTGTAGCAGTGAAACACATTAATTATCCAAGTGATTAATCTCGATAATGTTCCAAAATTTCCTTTTATCTCATAAGTTTCACCTATAATGCTCTGTTTCGGAAGAAACCGAGATGAAGGTTTTTCAAACATATCAATGAAACCACTCACCCTTGTCAAAGAACCAAAGCAAAACATTCACAAATAGACAATCGATACACATGAGGATTTTGCTATACATCATTTTCTGCTTTACATTTCACATTAAAAAGTAAATTTCAAATATTTATGCACTTTATTAAAATGAAATAAAATAGCAAAATTAAACATAAACCCTAAACCTAATCAGATTAAAAAAATAAAGAAACCCTAAACCTTGGGAAGGGGACTCGCAGGAATGGAAGATGAATTAACGACGACGATGGAGTAAGCTTCAGGGCTTGAGGAGCGTACCTTGTGCCATTGAGAACCCTAATTTGGAGAAGCAGTTATGGATTAGGGAGAAGAAGAAGACGAACACTTTCGAAGGAAGAAGACGAACCAAGAAACGAATAATGATTCATACGATTTACAAGTCTATCGGCTACGGTTTCATTCCCTGAAATTTCAAAAAGTAATTTGAATTTAAAATATTTAGAAGGGTGTATTCAATTGGAATTTTGAAGGATTTTAATTCTTTTAATAAATTTAGGATTTTCAATTATCATTTTAAGTGATTCTCTGAAATTCAACGTGTATTCAATCAGGATAGTTTATTAAAATTTTTAGAAATCCGGGTGTATTTAATTAGAATTTTAAAAAAATTTATAACATTCTAGGTGTATTCAATTAGAATTTGAATTTAAAGAATCTGGAAAAATTGAGGAATTAGAGGGAATTTGAGAGATTTTGTAGTGTATTTTAAGCATCCACAAATCCCACATCTCTCATGAGATTTCAAGAGATTTGAATTAAAATTTTACATAGAATCTCTACAAATCAGTTAAACTTCATAAAAATCTATGGATTTATAAATCCATTAAAATCTCTCAAATTTCCAATTAAATACAGCCCCCTTATTTTTCATCAAATGTGAATTTGAACAACATTATTGCTATCTTATTGTGAGACTAAACTCACTATTTTTCTTTGGTGTAGATAATATCATTTATTAAAAAAACATTTATTTATGTCATATTACAGTTTAGTAGTATTCATTTTCATTTATATTACAAGTAAAAGGTTTTAGTGCAACTCCTCTGTTGCTTATTACCTCGGGGATATGCAATCCAATCCACTTCCTCCCCCCCTAAAACACTCTAGCCCACTGGGGCAATTGGACCCAAGTATGCAGAAGTCAGGCAAAAATTGCATGTCCCAGCGCCATATCTATGCAATGCAACCATAATTTAAATTATTAAAAAAAAATAATTAAAGATATAAAAATTATAATTTTTTTCTATAAATACCTAACCATGTTTTTTCACTGTACACTACATTTCAATATTTTCAAATACTTTCAACAAATCGTTTATTATTATCTAAAATTAAAAATAAAGTTATCTTTTATCATTTTATAAAATAAAAAATATTAATATTTTAATACAAATTGCCTGGGTTATTCAGTTTAGGAGTGAAGATGCACTTGGACAATTATTGTTCACTGAAGGCAGTTTTTGAGTTGTCCATTGCCCAGGAGACCTTACTAAGTGCTCTTAGGTTTGATTTTCGTTAAATATGATTGAACCATATTATTGGTAACCCATTGTGATGTCACATCCACTCTCTTTCTCTTAGTAAATATAATTGGCTCGTTTGAATGTGTTTTTAAAATGATTGAAAGCGTTTTTAAAGAAAATGTTTTTGGATTCCAAAAGCACTTGAAGTGCTTTAAACAAGAAGCACTAGTTATGTCCTTCTTTCAAAAAGCACTTTAAATACTTTTTGAAGATTTACTTGTATCTTTATTAAGAATTAATTCTAAAAATATTTTAAACAAAAGTAATTTCAGTTATTTTAAAAACATATTCAAACAAAGTCAATATCGTTTGTTCACAAATAAAATCTTTCTAGAGGTCGATGCGGTTCGGCATCTGATCCAGGCCCATCAAGAAAATCGGGTTTCCCTTTTTGTGCGATTGGGAAAGTAAGTAGAGGAAATTAAATCAATGTGCCTCCTAATTGGTTTAATTCAAGATTTTAGCATATTTGATTACGGATTGTACGTGATATAGTATTTTTAATTTATATTTAAACTACCTATTAACAAAATTTTCTTTGTCAATTAAAAGGGAGAGGCCAATTTCATTGATGCTGGCAGTGTTCTTAGAAACTCGTCGAGCGCAGTGATTTTTGGTTCTTGTGTGTAATTTTGGTTGAGGTGGTACTCTATATGCTGAAGTTTGGGATGTTTTTATTGGATTGCAACATGCATGGAATAATGGAATTTAAAAAATTAAAGAAAACTAATGAAAAGGGTTTGAAAACTTTGAGTTTTAATGATAAGGACAAAATAAAGGGTAGAGTGAATAATATAGGATTGACTTTTTAGAGTAAAATTGTGTTTTTTCGTTAAAGTGAACAGTACCGTGAGTTTTTTATTAAAACTCCCAAAAAATTATGGTAGAATCTACTCTTGCAGTTCAATTGATTTCAAATGCAAAAGTAGATAATCACCTTCTTGGAAATTTAGTATTGAATTGTTGTGTCCTTATGCATCAAAGTTGGTCTTGTGAAATTCATCATATCTATCATGAAATTTTTTTTTGTTGCTAATGATTTGGCTAGTTTAGGTTTGTCATGCAGTTTGGGTTCAGCATTTTTTGAGCAAGCTCCTCTTTCTTGTCATCGGTTACCAGTTGCAAATATAGTTGGGTCTCATAGCCTGTGATATTTTTATGTAATCTTCCTTTTTCTTTTGGGCTTATGCCCTGTTGTCAACAGAAAGAAGGGTGCAAAACCAAATTAACCCTGTCGCTAAAACTAAAATAAAAGTTACGGGCTATATGGTAAATTAAACACAAAAAAGTTTTACTATTTTTTCTTTTTCTTTTTCAAAGCCTCACAGCTAGGTAGCCATATTAGCTGCTCTTGTTTTCTCTTTCATGTTTTTTCTCATAATAAACCTTTAACGACGAAATATTTATTTAGAAATAGTCGTTAAAGATATGAACAGTCTCTTCAGTGACGAAATAGGTATTAGTTATTTCAAGATGCTCATGCATGCTTCATATACCATCAAATTTCTTAGTGGTAAGCTCAGCCAAGAATGTTCCAGCAAGAGACTTGTTAGCAGTTTCAGCCTAAGGAGGGTTAGTGTTTATGTTGCTTGTTATAGTCATTCACAGAAACAGCATGCACAATCTATTCGATCTCTCCCAGGAATTATACAGAGATTTTTCCTCAGTGCTGCTTGTATCTGTAAGAACATCAGGTTTATCAGTTCGCAGTGCTAAATCAAGGTCCAGGACACCAAGGTGAAACTGAACTTGTTCACTCCAATATGAGAAATTTGTTCCACTGAGTGAGGGAATAGATGAAGCAAGCGAATGAAGAGAAACAAGCATTGACACTGCAATCCGAATATGCTCAAAATGTTAGTGTTTTGCGTACTAAGAAGCAAGTGTAAAAACATTAATTGCATTATCGTATTCTCCATTGGGCAGGGTAGATACTACAAAAATACAAATAATCATCAATGGATAATACCTTATTGATAATTTGTACATCTCTAACTAGACTAGTTTCTTTGTCTTTGGGTATCCAAACAAATACAAAAAAAAACGAAAAATATACAAATTCTCACCAAATTCAAATCATTAATCCTACGAGCAATTAGTCCACCTTTGGATGACCCTTAAGAACTTATGCCTAACGAAAATCTATTACTCATGTACAAACCCTTAAAACATAATAAGGTTTTATTCGTTCATATGCATCATCATACCATGAGTAATTGATAATCGTCATTTAATTCGAATCTATGTGATCTTTCTAGTTTGGCCACTTTGGCAACTAACAAACAATTTCATAATACGAATTACAAATTAAATGATCTTATTTAAATAAATAACTACATAAAATTGAAAGCCATCATAAAGATTCCAAATTGCAGTGGCTAAATATACCAATATTAATTCATACAAAGAGGCAAACCAAAGATTATGAAACAGAAGAAATTTCGGCTTCAATATAATAAAATCCCACATCCTTGATCATGCAATTTACAATATATAAAAAATTCATTGGCAGTTCATAAGTTTCAGTCATGAATTATACAATTAGGTTATTTCAAAATCGCAAAGTGGATCGTAATTTATTTCAAAACGAAAACCCCATTCTCCATTCAAGATGATTCAGTTATCATTCATCAAAACTGATAACATTAGGAAAACCATGAAAGTTCTTAACCGTGGCCCTAATGCCACATGTAAAATATAAATTAAATTAAGCCATGATCATCGAACTTCATGATTTTTATATAATGCATTAAATGCGGAAATACAATAAATAACCAAGTGTACTTGGATTCATGATGGCAACGCTATGAGATTCCAATTGGTTTCAGTCAACAGCTAAGGAAATAGTTGTTCTCTCTCTTGCCTCTATTTGCACGTGCATATTAGATGGGTTTAGGGATGGGCAAATACTCATAGGTTATGGGTAACACGGTTACCTGTCTATTTAAATTTTACAGTTACGGTTATGAGTAACCGTTTAGATAATTAAATGGTTATGGGTATAACCATTACTCGTGAAATTTAAATGGATGGCTATGCGTATTAACCGTTGTTATAAATGGATACCCATTTATTTTAATATATATAAAAAATTAAAAAAACAAAAAAGCAAAACAAAAAACCTAAGCTAAATCACAACACCCCACTTTCTATAGAAATTTCATATTGATTATAACATCCATTTCAATTATGACATCCTGGTGCTTATAACATCCAGTGCTGATGCATATTGATTATAATATTCTCAACCTAAGATAATGAGTGCCTTAAGCTTTTAGAAGCTTTATTTTGTACTCATATGGATGTTATAATTGAAGACTTGCTTAGGTATATAAAAAAAAATATGTCGAAAATACATTAATTTTCTTTCCAATATGTTTGCCCAAGTAATGAGAGGTATTTTATTAGTAACAAATCAATTCTTAGCAAAGATATTATATTACCTTGATTGATAACAATTAAAAATATTGTTTGTGTTGCAATCATATTTTAAATAGGAATGTAATTGTGTAAATCCTAGTAGATCTAGGAATATCTCTTATATTCATATTAGGAGTTGATTACCTATTAAGAGTTGTAATCCTAAAAGGGTAAGGTTTTTACCTGTTCTAATACTATAAATAAAAGCACAATAGGATGATACAACACACACCTCACAATTAAATATTTCTCTTCCCTTTTGCTACCACCGGCCCCCTCTCTCTCTAATCCCTTAGATTACTTCAATCAAATAAGCCTACAATAGTTCATAAATTATTACTTCAATTATTGGAGTTGTATAGGGTTACGGTTCAAAAAACAAAAAACATGTAAATAGGAGAAAAAATTGGTAAATGGGTTAAAAAAGGGTTTTTATGACAAATGGTCTCTGAGATTGATTAAATTCATCATTTT